GCCCTCTCCACCCCGTCTCCCATCCTAGGGGCCTAGCTGCCCCTACATCCCTGACTTTAGGCAGGCCCAGAGCAGCCTGTGCAGGAGCCATACCTTCCCCAGCCCTCTAGCCTCCCTCTCCCGGGGATGATATCCTATCTCCCTAGAAGGGGGAGAGCAGCTCTAGCAGGATGGCTACCTCTAGTGGGCAAGAGAAACATCTGAAAGGAGCTTGGAAATGGAGATTTCTATACCTGCCTGACATCCTGGGTCCTAGGCTGCAGAGGGACTTAGGGAACCATGTCATCCCTCAGGTGCTCCTGGCACCAGCAGCTTATGGAGAGACAATAACTTGGTAGCCTGGAATAGGCCTCTCTCTCCATAACTCCTCCCAGAGTCACAGGAGCTTGAAAAACCACTAATTCAACCACCCTCCATCCCCCTCCTTGCCCTGTTCTGATTGAATCAGTTGGGAGTGTAGCCTGGGCAGTGATAGCTTTAGAAAGCTGCCTGACTGACTGACGAGCAAGGAGGTTGAGAAGATAGGTCTGTAGTAGAGGCGAGTGTGGGACTGGGTTGGTCAGTGCTGGGTAAAGCACTTCCAGTCTGTGGTCTGTCTGGTGCGTCAGAAGCAGGATATCTTTTTTCTTTCCCTCCCACTACTGCTAGGTGCCCATCATTCTGGGGTGAGCAGGCTCAAGATGCAGCAAGACCCATGAGGGGTGTGGAGAGATTCCCTCCCCACCCAGGTCCAATACCATAGGCCCTGACCTCCATAGAGAGCTGCCCCCCATCATGCCATTTGCATTCCCCTGGGCAGCTCTCATCTGCTGCCCTGCCCCATGCACACTGCTGTGGCCTCCCACCTGGACTAGCTGAGGGTGGCTCCTGGGCACCACACTGTCTCTGTCCAACTGCTGCCCACTGTCTCTCCCATGGCCACCTCCCAGGCACTTCCCCTAGGCTTGTTGTGCTCAGCTGTACTGGCTGTCTCCTTTCTTGGAACATACTGTTGTCATCCCCTTTGTCATCTCTGCTTCAGAAACTTGGCACTTGTCCTTCTGTCTGGATTGCTCACGTCTAGCTGTACAGGTCTTGGTTCAAGTATCTCCTCCACTGAAGGCTCTCATAGCCCCTGTCTGATGTAGGCCTGTCCTGCCAGCCCATTCACAGTACAGCGGAGATTGTCCTCATAGTACCCGTTACTAGTTTCTGGTTGGCTCATTGTCTGACTTGCCCACGGGCCTGAGTCAGCAACCATCCTCTGTCTTAAACATCATGAACCTCCCCCCCACCCCCGCTGGGCTTGAAGCCTGGCACATCGTAGGTACTCACTTAATATGTCAGCACATGGAGGAGGACTGGGACCAGGGGAGGAGGCAGTGGCTGCCTGAAGATGTGTGCCTTCCTCAGTGATGTTGTTTGCCAAGGAAGAGTGCGTGGGGGAGATGAGGGCCAAAGGTGGGACCTCAGGGTCCATTCATCTTGATGGAAAGGGCCTGAAGAAAGACATTTAGGGAGATAGTGCCTGGTACTTCGACTTGCTGGAGGCTGGAGCGTCCCAACAGGCTTGGCAATATCTAGTGCTGCTGACATGTAGTGAAGTGATCCTTGGGGCAGAGACCTTCCTAGGGGACAAGCTAGGGCTACCCAACTGGGAGGTGAGGAAACAGGAATATGGGGCCTGGCAGAGACTGTGTTTCTGTGCCAAGAGGAGCCAGCTGTGGCTGAAGACATAGGCCTGGAGCATGAGTCCTTGCAGTATCTGACTTGAGGGGCCCTGAGTGCAGATGGCTCCTGCCTAGTGAAGAACAGGTACAGGGCGTGAGTAGACCTAGCTCAGCTGGAGCCATGGTGGGGATCCATTTTGCACATATTTGCACACATTTAAGTCTGAAACTGAAGCTTCCAAACTGCCCTTGAGTTTTCTGAGCTGTGATTCTGACTTAGGCTGGGTGGCCCTGGTCAAGAAGTAGTCTTCTGCCCAGCCCCTCAGCCTCTCACTTTTCTGGGGTTCCAAAGGCAACGCTCTCAAACCTGTGGAGTTTTGTTAGAAATACGGGACTAGGCTCGGCACCTCTGGCTCAAGCAGCTACGGCGCCAGCCACATACACCTAAGGTGGCAGGTTTGAATCCAGCCCGGGCCCACCAAACAACAATAATGGCTGCAACCAAAAAATAGCCGGGTGTTGTGGCAGGCGCCTGTGGTCCCAGCTACTTGGGAGGCTGAGGCAGGAGACTCGCTTGAGCCCAGGAGTTGGAGGTTGCTGTGAGCAGTGAAGCCATGGCACTCTACCCAGGGGCTCAGCTTGAGGCTCTGTCTCAAAAAAAAAAAAAAAAGAAAAAGAAATACGGGACTAGTGGGGCATGGAGGCTTATACCTGTAATCCTGGCAGATGGGTTGCTTGAGCTTAGGAGTTCAAGATCAGCCTGAGCAATAGCAAGACCTTGTCTCTACTAAAAAGAGAAAAACTAGCTGGGTGTTTTGGTGGGCTTCTGTGGTCCCAGCTACTGGGGAGGCTGAGGCAAGAATCACTTGAGCCCAAGAATTTGAGGTTGCTGTGAGCTGTGATGGCACAGCACTCTACTGAGGGCAAGAAAACAAGACTGTCTCAAAAAAAGAAAGAAAAATAATCTAGAGCAGGTGTCCTCAAACTACGGCCTGCAGGCCACATGCAGCCCACCTAGGACATTTATCTGGCCCACTGGGTGTTTTTGCCGCCGCTGCCTGTCCTGCATAGCAGCTGACTCGTCCCAGGGCCCACAGTCTAGTCCTCCAACGGTCTGAGATACAGTGAACTGGCCCCCTGTTTAAAAAGTGTGAGGACCCCTGATCTAGAGGGTTAAGATTTTGAATTTGTTTCTCTAAAAAGAGCAGCCTGTGCAGAATTGCAAATAATTTCTGTAACTGCTATGCCCTAAGAAGGGGAGTGTAACTTTTCAAGGCCATTCCTTAAATGTCAGCTGCACGTCCCGACTTTCTCCATTGATGGCAGCGTGGAATGGGAGGGATAACTTTGCAGCAGAGAAACCCGCTGGTTCAACCACCTTGCTCTGATGATCAAGGTCAACCTCAGCAGTGGTAAGTCACATTGATGGCCTATGCCCTCTGTATGATGTGATGAGAGGGGCACTTCACCTCTGTGGTCTTCCTCCCTAAGACCTGTAACCCTACTCTAACTATGAGAAAGACACCAGACAAACCTGGCCTAAGGAGAGTCTGCAGAACACCTAACAAGCCCTTCTCAAAACTATCAAGGTCATGTCATGAAAAACAATAAACTCATGGCCAGGAGGAGCTCAACAAAATGTCTTATGGGATCCTGGGCCAGGAAAGGACGTTAGAGAAAAACAAGGATATCTCATAAAATGTAGACTTCATTAGTTAATAATGTATCAAGCTTTTGCTTGTAGTCCCACCTAATTGGGAGGTTGAGATGAGAGAATCACTTGAGCCCAGGAGTTTGAATCCAGCCCTGGCAATACAGCAAGACCCTCCTTCTCAAAAAATAAATAAATAAATAAAAATTAAATTGGGTAGTTGGTTATAGCCAATAAACCATACTAATGTCAGTGTTACTAATGGGAAATGGGGGGGTATATATGAGATAATAATTGTATTATCCTGTAGTTTTTGTATAAATCTGAAACTATCCTAAAAATAGTTTATTGAAAAAAGAAAGTGGCAAAACATAAATTTAGGGATAAGAAAGTTAGAAAACTGGCATAGGCTCTCCATCAAGTTCATGTTCCTGTTGTCAGTGAGGTGGGTCTGAGTTTTGCAGGTTGCTGGCTGTCTGCCTCAGTGGGGCTCCAGGCATCCACTTGTGGTTGACCCATTTGTTGTCACCCTCTGCTGGCCAGGGGAATAGACTAGTGCGAGGCTAGGGCAGGGCTCCTGTCTTATGGCAGATGTGGAAAATTTGGAAGGATGGAGATCGGGATCTTCCTAAGCCTCTTTGGTTCTCCACCTTTAGTGAGAGTGTTTGACCATATGTTTTCCAGGCACCTTCCCCTACCATGCCATGTCCTTCCCAGGTTGTCCAGTGGGTGGTTGCTCCTGCCTGTAACTCTGGTGTTCATTAACTAGAAGAGCTCAGGTTTCTGCATCCACAGTGACTCTCCACACTAGAACTGTTGGCACTGTCACTGCAAAGTCTTCATTAGGAGGGGCTGTGGAAACCTGGCCAGCCTTTGAAGCAGGGACAAGACTGCCTGGCCAGGCAAAAGATTCTCTTAGTCTAGGCATTTCCTTGGGCTTTCTACCCTCTTCTGCCCCACAGCTCAGCTGGGCTGGCCTCAGGGTTGGAAAAGTAAATGGAGCCCAGCTGGGTGGTGCCAGCAAGCTTTTCCACTCTGGAGAAGGAAGTGGCATAGAAATGGGGGACAGGCTTGGCCCCCATAGCACAATGGTTTCAGCACCAGCCACATATACTGAAGCTGGCGGGTTCAAACCCAGCTCAAGCCAGCTAAACAACAATGACACCTGTAACAACAACAACAAAAAAATCTTCATGTTGTGGCAGGTGCCTATAGTCCCAGCTACTTGGGAGGCTGAGGCAAGAGAATCGCTTAAGCCCAAGAGTTTTGCCACGGCACCCTACTGAGGGCGACATAGTGAGACTCTGTCTCAAAAAAAAAAGGGACACAAGACAACTGGTCAGCCACTGCTGTGGTCCTCCTCTTCCTCACCACCCAAGCACCTCGGAGAGATCAGCATCCATGAAACTAATTATTAGCATTCTGAAAGTTGAGTCAGTAGCACAGTTTTCTTTTTAAATGAAGCTTTTCTTGTTTGTTTGTTTAAAAGTAACCTCTGTTCGTTGTAGAAAATGTACTAGTATTATCAGAGAAAGTAAGGAAGTTTGCCAGTACCTTTGTCCCCGTTCCCTGGAGGTGTGATGTGTGTCTGCCCTGACCCAGCCTTTCGAACCCAGGCTGATAACAGTCCTGCTTGACCTCCTGGTCCCTCTCACTCACTGGCAGTCAGTTTATCAAGGTCCTCGTGTTCTCCCACACAGGACACAGCTTGGGCTATGGCTTTGTGAACTACGTGACTGCAAAGGACGCGGAGAGAGCGATCAACACACTGAACGGCCTGAGGCTCCAGTCCAAAACCATTAAGGTAAAGAGACCTCATCACCTTATCTGTTCCTGTCCCGGGCAGGAGCCTGTGGTGAGCACTACTGACACTACTGGGGGGACCAGCTGCTCTCAGGGACCTCCTGCCAGATGTGGACTTGGTAGCTTACAGCCTCCTCACTCAGCCCTACCAATAAAGGGTCACTTGAAGGGATTGGCCCAGAGCGTCCTCAGGTGGCTCATAAGGTGCCTGCTCCATAGACCTCCCCTAAGACAGCCTTGCACTGGTGCAGCTCCTTCCTCACACCAATATCCAGCTAGCTCTGTTTTGCTACTGGCTTCTGGCTAGTGACTGCAGCACCACCTTCCCCCCCGCCCCCCCCAGTGATCCCTTCCTCACATCACAGACAGTTGCAACCCTTTTCTCACCCATGTTCATTGAACACCTACTATGTGCCTGACAGTGACCAAAACATACAAACTCTCTAACTTTGTGGGGGAAATGCGATAGGGCAGCTATGTGCAATAGAGGCAGGTGCTATGAGGGGAGGCTTCATGGTAGCAGGTGACTTGAGGGACCCAGCTTTGCATTGATCACGGGGTGGCCCTCTGGCAGGACATGGTTGCTTCTTCTGCCTTTGTGTTCTTTTGAGCGTGCTGTGACTAACCACTCCCTCCATTTCTCTTAGCCCAGACCCCTTTCCCCCTGGCCTGAATTCTGTCTTCTGGTTTCCTGATCATACACAACACACACCTCTTGGGCCAAGCCCTGTGTCTTTTCCTGACCTTTGCTCCCTTGTCAGTGCTGGCTCACGCCCTGAGCCTCCTATGCTCCAGGCAGGCCCCCATGACTGGGCGTACAGCAGCTTGGCAGCAGCTGTGCCCACCACCCCTTGGCAAGAGCACACCTGTCAGGACCATCTCTCTTGCTCTGAAGTCATGTGGAATGAGATGGTCCTGTATGAGCCTTTGGGTCTACCAGATCTCTCCACCCCAGAGGACGATGCTCCCCCGAGTCACATTGGGTACCCAGAAGTGTCCTCCTTCGTTTCTGCACAATGGCTGAGCTTCCTGAGCCTGCTGATCATCAGAGTCCCCCTGGGACTTGTGAAATTACAGCTCCCAGGCTGCAGTAGGGCCTCCTAAACCACTCTGTGGATGGGCCTGGGTGTCTGGGTTGCTGCTAGCTTGCAGGAAGTCTTATAATCTCTCTCTGGCAGCATACATTCCACCAGGAGGGTGTCCCTTGCTCTGTCCTTAAACTCTTCCCTTCTCTTGGTTACTCAGTGGGCAAACCTTCACTAATCAGCACATTTCTTAGACTTGCCTATACCATGTAGACACAGAGTATGCTGCAGGTTCCTGTGGCCTTAGGTCTAGCATGGGCCTCAAGGGCGCCTTCTATAGCAGAGGTCAATATGGGCAGCTACACATCATGGCCTTTCTACTTGAGCAGGGGACTGTCATGCCACCCCTTCCCCATCATGATGATGTATGGCATGGAGTATATGGCATGGAGCCCAGCTCCACCTTTGACAGCCCTGCCTTCTGCCAGCAGAAGTTGGTTCTTAGTAGCTGCCCACCAGTGTCCTAGTTTTGCAGAAACAGGCCAGCTTTTTATGGATGTGACAGCCCTCAGCCATCACTTCTCCCTAGGTCTCCCCTGAGGCTCTGCAGGCCTGGCTTCTCTAGTACCCCCAGGCATGCTTTGGGGTCCTTTGTCATTCAAGTGTGTTCCTTCATGCAGCAAACTTTTATCAAGCTGCTGACCAATTCATCAAGGTGGAGAGACTTTAGATTACCTGTCCTCCCTTGAAGAGCCCTCACAAAGGTGATCCATCTGGGCAGCATGATAAGGGCCATGATGGAGTTATATGTTTATCTCATCCGTGCATTTTTACTCAGTTTCTATCTGATGCCGGTTAGTGTCCTGCAATTCTGTTCTGACACTAGCCACCCTTTTTTTTTCTTTTTTTTTTTTGAGAAAGAGTCTCAAGCTATTGCCCCAGGTAGAGTGCCATGGCGTCATAGCTCCCAGCAACCTCCAACTTGGGCTCAAGCAATCTTTTTGCCTCAGTTTTTCTATGTTTTAGTAGAGACGGGGTCTCCCTTTTGCTCACGCTGGTCTTGAGCTCGTGAGCTTAAGCAATCCACCCGCCTCAGCCTCCCAAGAGTGCTAGGATTACAGACGTGAGCCACCATGCCCAGCCAAGCCATCCAGAAACAACACAGCCCTCCCAACTTTAAGGGCACAATCCCTGACAAGGCTGCCCTCATTTCAGACTGTACTTTGGTGATCCTCAGGCCACCTACACTTCTAATTAACTGGCTATACATGTTTGGGGGTTCCCACAGCCCTTTCAGGTTCTGTAATTCACCAGAATGACTCCCAAAACTGACACTTCTGATGACAATTTCATTAAAAAGAACACCAGGTAAGACCTCTCAACTGAAGAGCCATACAGGGCGAGATCTGGGAGGGTCCCAGACACAGAGCTCCTGTGTCCCTCACCTTATGGGATCAGGGTACATCACTCTCCTACAGGGCCATGTACTCTCCTTACTAGGAAGCTGTGTTTTCACTGGGGGTTCATTATGTATGCATGGTATTTTGATTTTGCTTTTTTAGAGGCAGAGTCTCATTTTATTGCCCTCAGGAGAGTGCCATGGTATCATACAGCTCGCAGCAACCTCCAACTCCTGGGCTTAGGCGATTCTCTTGCCTCAACCTCTCGAGTAGCTGGGACTACAGGCACCTGCCAAAATGTCTGGCTATTTTTTGTTACAGTTTGGCTGGGGTTGGGTTTGAAGCCACCTTGGTATATGGGGCCAGGGCCCTACTCACTGAGCCACAGGCACTGCCCTATATGCATGACTGATTGAATCCATCTCCTGCCTCTCACCCCTATCCCCACCCTGGAGTTGGGTTGATATCACATGGCTCAAAGTCCTAGCTGCCCAATCACACGGTTTAATTACATGGTCCATCTCTCTGCTTACTGGGCCCCATCCTGAGCCTTCTTAATGCAAGCACAGGTGGGATTCAAAGGCTTGTGAATAGAAAAGGTGGAAATTCCAAGGATTTTAGAAGCTCATCATCAGGAACATAAGACAAAGACCAGACCAGTTCTTTACAGCAAATATGGACTAAAGGCCAGGCCCTCTACCAGATGCTCAGGGAGCCCAGCAGTGCATACAGATCACTGTAAGCTAGCCCCAGGACAGGCTTAGAGCCTATAATCACAAGGGGTGCCAAGGAATGTTTCCCACAAGAAAGTCAGAGTTGAAGTCTGGAGAAGAGGAGGAGTTGGCCAGGGTGGTGAGGGGACACAAGAGTATTCCGAGAAGAAGGACCCTCAGGGGCCCAGGGCAAAGATGGCTGCCCTGGAGGGGATCTGGTGGCTAGGCATATTCTGGGAATTACAGGCCATCCCCAAGGCCAAAGCCCCACTGCTACCCCTGAGGGCAGGGCTTTCCAAAGGCTCATGCATGTCCCCAGGGCTCTGTGATCTCAGGCCCCCTTCATCCACTATGTCCTCTTTCATCCTAATGTCACTCCTTTAGTTGCAGAGTCGAGAGTGAGGAGTCCTATCCACCATCCATCCATCTTTTTCCTATAACAGCAGCTGGGGCACCCATGATGAGAGGGTGGTACATGGAGGTGATAGGCCAAGCCCTGTCCAGGTGTGGTATCTCTGCCAGGAGCCCTTGTGATTCACATAGAAACATGTATAGAGGGCTTATCTCCCACAGCCTGGTGAATCCACGGCTTAAGGATGAAGGAGCTGATGTTTTGAGTAGTGAAATAGCTCTGCCAGGGTTATAGAGGGAGGGAGGGCAAAGGTGGGGCTAGAGACTGGGTGCTTGGTCTGCAGGCGCTCAGCCCCAGCACTGGGCGGCTTTCCCAGCGCAGCATGAGAGGTAAATACCAGGAACCACCTACAGAAGGGGTGCCTGAAGGGCAGGCAAGGCAGACTTCTCGCCACCAGCTACTGTTCCTTCACTCCATCAGCAGGTGTTCCCAAATGCCTCTGTTCATCTAAATACATTCTGGATGTTAAGCGTCGTGGTGAACACGAAAGTTTTGCCCTCTTGGGTCTGTTCTGCACATGTAAATTAGCAAGGTACATAGAGTGTCAGGTTGGGATGAGTACAGTGCAGGATAACCATGCCGGGACAGCAGAGGCCACATGTGGGTGTGGGTGGAGGGGAAGTGGCAAACCTAGTGGGCAAGGATGTGTGGGACTTTGCATGGGCTGCCATGACAAAGTACCACAGGCCAGGTAGCTTGAACAATAGGAATGCCTTGTTTCCCAGTTCTGAAGGCTGGAAGTCCAAGATCAAGGTGTTGGCCAGGCTGATTCCTTACAGAGTCCTGGCAGTCTTTGGCATTTCTTGGCTGGTAGAAACATCACCCGATCTCTGCCTCCCTTGTCATGTGGCTTTCTCCCTATGGGGAGGCCTGCAGCCATGTTTCCCCTTTTTATAAGGCCCCCAGTCACATTGGATTGGGGCCCACCCTACTCTGGTGTGACCTCACCTTAACTGGTTACATCTGTAGCAGCCCTGCCAAGTCAGGGTGTATTCTGAGGCCTGGGTGGGGATTAGGACATGAACACATGAATTTGAGTGAAGAGTGGGAGATATATATAATTGAGCCCCTCACAGGAAGCTGTCTCAAAACTAGGCAGTTAGGCAAAAACCTGATTGTCACAGGCTCACAAGTGATGCTGGGGACATAAGAATTGGGGTTCCAGGCTGAGCTGGTGTGATGCTGTACCCCAAGGATGTCTACTAAGTTGATGTGCACCTCCGTCTGCGTATTCTCAGAGACAGCCTCATCTGCTTTGATCTTGCTCCTTGTCACGTGGCTTTCTTCCCATGTGTGAACCTGTAGCCACATTTCATAAGGCCCCCAATCACATTGGATTAGGGCCCATCCTACCTCGGTGTGACCTCACCTTAACTGTGACAGTGCTGGAGAGAAGAAAAAAGCACAGTTGCCACAGTGCTCAAGGACCTGGGAGTTAAAACGCATGGAGGCTGTCTATCCCTGAGTTTGCCTCTGAGAGGCAGTTCTCTGGGGCCTGACTCAGGGGCAGCAGTAAGCACATTTGATACCAGCTCTGCTGCATTCCAGCTACACCCAACTCGTGGTTTGGGACTGTCTTTCTAACTGTGCCCAACAGGACAGCAAGGGGCCTGGCAGGATGGTCCTCGGAGACAACTCTCCGCTGTTCCAGCATGATCTGAGAGAATGCTGAGTCTCTGGGGTTGGGGGGGGAGACTGCCTTCCTCCTTCAGCCATCTGCCAGACACAAAGATGCCTACCCCTTGGGGCTCTGGTAAAGTTGGACAGCAGACAGTCAGCAGTACTGCCCTCAGGCAGCACTTTCAGGGAGGTGTTCTACAGGGCTGGTTAAGGGTTGACCCAGACATTAGGGGAGGCTTGGTGGCCAAGGCAACACCTTTCTCTGGGGATAGTGCTGCCAGTCCTGACCCAAATCCTGGAGTAACTGTTCCCTAAGATCCTATCTCACTGGCTGCCCATGGTGCCCTGGGCCTGGTTGTAACACAGCTTCCTTGGAGACCTGTGGCTCCCATCGTGGTCCCTGGTACCCCATGGTGCCACATTCCCTTCATCCTCACCTCCATGAGCTCTTCTGGGTGCACTTTGATTGCATCTAGCTTCTGAGTTTGTCCTCCCTCTCCCTGCTGGGCTGCATGCTCCCTCATGGGCAGGGCAGTGTCTGTGGTTCCTTCCCTGGAATGTGGTAGGTGCTCCAAAGAGAGCTGTTGTGTGTGCGTTCTTGGGATGCCTGACAGGTGGTTTACTCCCTCGCTGTGGTCTCAGTCTCCTTATCTCAGTTAGAGTGTTGTATACTTTTAGAGCACACGGCTCCTGCTTTCTCCTCTGCATCCCAGCCTCCTGACTCAGTTGTGAGTGTATGTTGACAGGCTGTCCCATAGCAAACAAAAGGGCTACTCCCAGCTGCTCCTTCTCAGGAGGTGCCCTGGTGTATTCCTCACAGCTGTCAGCCCTGACCTGAGAAAGCACCCAAGACCTTTTTCTGCATTAGCCCTAGAGACTCCCTCACTGCCCCAGCCTCCCCTACCCCCAGCACATGCATAAGCCACTTTGTCAAAACCACTGACAAGGTTCTTTTTAGGCTTTCTTTGATTTTGCAAAATATAAACCCAGAGAGTCAAATCATTTAATATTGAACATTCAGGCTTCTACCAGAGCTCATGGGCTTCATCTGGGTGCCCATGGTGAGCTTACCTATTACCAAGGGGGCATTATGAGTGCTCACAGTGGCTCCTAGCTTTCTTGCCCACTGCACCATGGGCTACTTGTGGTGAGGGACCAGGTCCTGTCCCAAGCTCTGGTACCTTGTCCAGTATGTCAGAGAGGTCATAAGGGTGTGGAGCCCTGCCACATACCAGCTATGGGCCCTCGAACTCATGGCTTTGTGAAATAGGAATAATATCCACCTTATTGGGGGGAGGGGGTGGTGAGGACCAAAGGAGAAAGTGCTACAAGATGTCCTGGTCCTCTGCTGGCCCACAGTAAGCCAAGAGCATGTCCCACTATAGGGGACAAGCATTAATGATGAGAAATGTTCTATGTGGCTTTTGCTCCCCCCACATTTAGCACCCTTCTCTGATGCTTTGGCCACATACCTGCCCTAATCCTAGGAAGTGGTTGTGCTTTCAAGGTATCATATGCTCGCCCGAGCTCAGAGGTCATCAAAGATGCCAACTTGTACATCAGTGGACTCCCGAGGACCATGACCCAGAAGGATGTGGAGGACATGTTCTCTCGGTTCGGACGAATCATCAACTCCCGGGTGCTTGTGGACCAGACCACAGGTACGGCAGGTGGCCTGGGGCACATGGGGAGTGTTTTCTGCCAGGCTAAGGGCTAGGATTCTTAAGGAAGACAGATCACTGTTCGGTTTTTAAATGTCCTTAGTTTTCTACAAATGAGGACAACATGGAAATCAAAAGACAATGGCTTTTGTTTGATGAGGCTGAATAAAAGAAAGAAACACACACACACACACAAAACCAAGATTAGGCCAGCATTTCATTTATGGTGAAAACACCAAGAAATTCTAGCACTTTCCCTCAGGCACTCAAATGTCCTGGTCTTACTTATGAATGGGGGGGAAAGGCTGCTATGGTTCTCACTGCAGGCAGATGGTGTTCTGTGGCCCCAGATTTCCAGGTTCCTGTGCCAGAAGCTGCAGGGTTAGCTGTTTCTGATGAACCTTCGTCTGTGTCCACAATTTTTTCCCCTCGAGGGAGCACAAGTAGGTCCAAGCCAGTGAATTCCTTTTGTGTTCCAGGTGGTCCTGTCCATCTTAGGACTGGACTTGGACTCTAGGCTTTGTGTGGCCCCATCAGGCAGAGATGAGCTAGGGATGCCCACATCTGCCCATGGCTGTGTTCCAGCCCCACTGCCCAGCATTCCTGTCCCACTGGGCAAGGGACTGAGACAAGTTATGTCCTGCCAAGCCTGGTGTGTGGCTCCCTGGGGATTAGAGGAGCTTGGGCTAGCCCTTGAGGGAGTTTCAGATTCCTCAGCTGTGTTCCCAAGAGGAGCAGGAATGTGTTGACTGACCAGAAATGAAGAGGCTCTACTCAGAGAGCCCTGCAAAGCCCACTGACTTGCATGCAGTTGATTTTGTATCCTCTGTGTACAGCCACCCGACTGTAGTGTTAAAATACACTGAGTAGTTGGGCCATGAGAAATCATGCCCTGAGGTGACCTCCCTTTTGAGAGACCAGCAGTGTTCCTTGAGTCAAGTAGGCCTGCAGGAGCCTTGCACTTCATCTACACACAGGCAGGGACTTCATGACCTATGGCAGAGGGAGCTGCAGGTGTATACACTTTGACCTGTGTCCCCTGAGCAGGCCTGGGGCAGGCGGCCTAGCCAACTCCTCTTTGTTCTCCCAGCCCTGCCTGACATGTGCTGCTAGACTGCAATCCTAAGCTTAGGCCTGAGGAGGGGAAGGGACCACTTCATATTTCATGGGGGCCCTGGGTACAACCCATAGCCTGGTACAGATACAACTCAGCACCAGGCTGGGCTGGAGGGTAAGGTCACATGGCCTCCTTTATTCTGCCTTAGTTCTAGGGAGAGTGTAGGGTTTGCCAGGTACTTGATAAGACCACCACCCCCCATCTGTACCAAAAGCTTTGTGTGGTCTATAAAGTCTCACTTACCTTCAAATGCCAGTGAGGAGAGAACCATCCAGTTGGTGGCCCAGTGAAAGATTCATTCCCCTCACCTTTGTAGGTCCCTGGGTCTGGCAGTGATCATACTAGCCCCTCCTCTTTTTGATCCTAGGTAGCCTCTGCCCATCTTTCCCAGTCCTAGCCCCACACTACTGAGGGTCCCTGTTCTTAACTTGACGCCCCCCTCCACCTAGGGCTCTTAGAGCTCCCCTCCAGGGTGAGGGAGGTCACTTCTGCAGATGGCTCCCCTTCTGTCAGCTGGGGATTCTGCCCCCTTTCCCTCTGCGAGGGTGCTCTCTAAACTTGAAGGTGGTGTAGACACTAGGAGTTCTTCACATCCCTGGAGGAAGGTGGAGAGAAGGAGGTGGGGAAGGGGCAAGGAGGCTCCTTAGGCTGCAACTTCCTCTGTTAGAGACGGATCACCAGGGCTTCTGAGGCCAGGGGTAGGGGAGAAAGCACCAGGCAGGTGGGTTTGTGTGGTTTTTGCCTTCCTAGGATGTGCTTTTAGTGTTAAGGAGATGAGGACATTCTCTTAAAGAATCTTCACAGCCTGAGCCAACACAATTTAGCCTTTTAATTTCTTTGCTTATTTATCATGTTAATTGTGAACTTTATAGCTTATTCATCTGGAGAGTATGCCTTTTCTTGGTCTCTACTTGTAATTCTAAAAAAAAAAATTCTAGAAGAAACTCCCCACAATAATGCAGAGCCATCTTAAAAAAACTATACCTTCATCAGATAATTGAATGAACCTGAATTCCCTCACTTTCCTCGCCATCCCCCACCCCTGCAGTCCTCTTTCTTTCTCTTTGGCAGGTTGAAGTGGAAAGCCATTCTACATAACCAGACAAGGAAGCCACACTTGAACACAGACTTTCTCTCCATTTGGCCACAAGGTCTTTAGAAATGGAATGAAGCTGTGTCCCTGGAGGCAGCTTCGAGTTAGAGCCAGCCAGCTCCAGCCTCCAGTTTTATTGGCCTAAAGTTAGATTTTCATTTAGGTTCCTGACTGAGCTGTTGTTTGTGCCACATGAGAGTAAATGAGAACAGCATCTGCCAAGGGCATGTTGTCAAGTATTCCTTCTGAGCCAAAGCTGAGAAATGGCTTAGGCCCCAGAATCCTCCTGGTGCACTTTAGTATTGCTGGGTCTGAAATCAACATAGGGCCCACAGGGTCATGGTTGTGGAGTGGTGGCGGGACCCTCTAGGAGGCCATGGAGGAGCAGACCTCCTCCTTGAGGAGTCAGACCTGAGTGCTCTGACTCAGCTAGTCACCCTAGGCCCTGGCTGCGCTGCTTTAGGTCATTGTCTTTTACCTCATCCAAAAGGCCTTTGCCTGGGGGAAGAAGCCACAACTCAGGATAGACCTCATCTGGCATCTTGAACAGAGTGTTTGTCCCACCAGGACACAACCTTGGCCACAGCCAAGTGATAATACTCAGACGGGCCCCCTGCTTTGGCCTCCCTGGTCCCATCATTCAGTCACCCCAGGAAAAGGTTCACTGCTCAACATCCCCCCCTCCCCCATAGCTGTATCCCTCAAGGGATAGTCTGCTCACTTTCTCCTTCTAGGCTGACGATACCCTGGGCAGGAGGTAAAGGATGGCTGAACACTCCCTCCACTGCTTTCCTTGGTGTCTCAGGGTCAGTTAGGCCTCAGCCTCTGGCTGTTCTGTTGAGGGACTGGGTTCCAGCCAGGAACCTAGGGTTGCCTTTCAAATGACTTTGTGGAGGTGGAAGGAGAAGGTGCCCTCATAAGGCAGTGGAAGGCTCTGCCAGAGGGGCCCTGACCCTACCCACACATGGACCTCAGACCTGCCTGGAGAATCTGAGGGTGGATTCAGCTCTGCTTTGTATGCCTGCATTTGGTAGTTGTCTGGCCACATTTGATTATGAGGGCAGTTTGCAGTCTACAGGAGGTCACAGGATCTGAGAGTGGAGTATCCCAGAGAGGAATGAGGTGGCAGTGGCAGGAAGGAGCTGGGAATGGTGGAGAGGGTGTAATTAGTTACAACTTAGTTATTGAGAGTTCTTAGCTTGGTTCCCATACTCTCGGCATGAAGGAGAAGATGCACAGGTTGGGCCAGGTACTGCGCAGCCGGCAGTCCTCCATGTGAGGCAGTAAGGCCTGGCTCAGCCATAGGGCCACCCACCATCACTTGCCCATGGTGGACCCCAGAGGTAACAATTAGAAGGTTGGCCCACAAGCCAGGAGAATTTCTGAGGCAGCACCTGGCCACTAACTTGTGAGAGTGAAGGTGCTTTCTCCAAATGTTGCTTGCTTTAGAAAAAAGGTTTGGGGTATTGGTTTGGTATATCTGTCCGCAAAATATCTCGTGGCAGGGAGACAGTGGAATCGTTGCTTTAACTCAGAAGAAAGTCTGAAACCTTGTTCTTTTATTAATCATTGTTTTTAATTGTTTTTTCCTTTAATTTGTTTTCATGTTTAGGTTTAATTTCTGTTTATTTCATTAACCAGGCATCTAGTCTGGACTACAAGAGACTGACTTGACTCTTGCTTTTCAGCTTTGAAAGTCTTTGCATTTTTTTTCCCCCTAACTCCATTTCTGTTGGTTTGTTAAAAAGGTTTGTCCAGAGGGGTTGCGTTTATCCGGTTTGACAAACGGTCGGAAGCAGAAGAGGCAATTACCAGTTTCAATGGTCATAAACCCCCAGGTTCCTCCGAGCCTATCACAGTGAAGTTTGCTGCCAATCCTAACCAGAACAAAAATGTGGCACTCCTCTCACAGCTGTACCACTCACCAGCTAGACGGTTCGGAGGCCCAGTTCACCACCAGGCACAGAGATTCAGGTGGGTCTAGCAAATGCCACACTCCTGCCCTTAGTGTTATGCATAGTCTTACCACTGGGTGACTGTCACACAGAGTGGGGACCACTGGGGATGCTGGGCAGATCCTGTCACAGAGCTGCATCTTGGAGTCATTACACGGTTCCATACCATCCCCTCCATCAAAAAGGCGTCCATATGAAAGCTGTTTACTTCCACTGAGGTGCTGTCTTTTGTAGGAATCAAAAGATGGCACCAGTTCCCACTGGCTGCTGGGCATGCAAGCAGGTGGTGCTCCAGTGTGTGGTTTCAAGTAACACAAGAGTAGAACTGTGAGCTTAAAAAGATGTTCTGTGTCCACCAGAGATAAGCCTTAGGTGTGCTCAGACAAGAGCAAGTCATCCAGAACTTTTAGACAGGTTTTAGATGTTTGATCAGCAGCTCCAAGGCAAACCTTTTTCATACACCTGGTTTGTGGGGTTTTTATATGTGAATATTATATGCCTACTGTTTACAAGCCTTGTCCTAGAGGGGAACAGTTTTCCTGTATTCCTTAATTTCCCATGCCAAAAATGTCTCTAGCTGGCAGGATTGAATAGAATAGAGAAAATTACAGTCAATAACTTAGACTCTAAAATCAGGTGTGCTGCTGCCTCAGGTACTAATTTAGGGGCTGTATTTAGTTTAGTTTTGGTCAAAACCTCAAGTGGCATGAGGGCTTATGTCAGGCGTGATAAGGATTTTTGTCTATGTCTTTTCAGATTTCTCATCTTTATTTTAAGCAGTGAGGTTGAGTGGACCTACTTGCTACAAATGCTGCTTTGAGACAGCTTAGTTATCTAGAGTTCTTAGCTTGGTTCAGATTCCCAAACTGGCCTGCATGTCTGCCTAGCTTTTCTCATTTAAAAAACAGAGGCTGCCAGGCTGGGCGTACTGCCTAACACTCTGGGAGGCTGAGGCAGGTGGATTGCCTGAGCTCAGGAGTGACCAGCCTGAGCAACAACGAGACCTCATCTCTACTAAAAATAGAAAAAACTAGCCGTGTGTTGTGGCAGGCACCTATAGTCCTAGCTACTGGGAAGGCTAAGGCAGGAGGATCATTTGAGCCCATGAGTTTGAGGTTACTGTGAGTTATGATAACATGACACTCTATCCAGGGTGACAAAGTGAGACTCTGTCTCAAAAATTAAAATAATAAAATAGGGCAGTGCCTGTGGCTCAAGGAGTAGGGCGCCAGCCCCATATACTGAAGGTGGTGGGTTCAAACCTGGCTCCAGTCAAAAACTGTAACAAAATAATAATAAAATAAAAGAGGTTGGGGTAGCTTCTGGACAAAATTGAGCTGATTTAAAATCCAAGTTTAGAGGTGTGATAATACAACCAGCACTGCCTCAATGTGGCAGGGTAGGTGGCTGGCAGCATTGGTTTGGTGAGTTACTTGATTACCAGGGAGGAGAAGTGGAACTTTGGTCTCATAAACAAGGACAAACATTTCTGTTCAAGCAAGAAGTGGTAGAACAGAAAAAGGGACAAAAATGATGAAAAGGGCTCGGTGCCTGTGGCTCAAGTGGCTAAGGCACCAGCCACATACACCTAAGGTGGCAGGTTCGAATCCAGCCCGGACCCACCAAACAACAATGATGGCTGCAACCAAAAAATAGCCGGGC